ACGATAGAGGGACCCTAATTTTGGACGATTCTTTCACATTTTCCAGTCCCGAGGACCAGACGTGGCTGCGTAATTTCTGCCGAGATATGCGGGAGCAGAGCTTCCACACGTCATTTGAGGGCGCGGAAAATTGCACTATCGAGAACTTTATCGACTTTATGGAACAGCCAGCTTGTAATATCTCCGGCCAAGATGTGTCCCCTTGCTGCAATCAATCGATTTTTCCTTACGAACCTGATCTCTTTAAGATCTGCCTAGCTAAATTTGCCGATGTCTTTCAATCTCCAAGTCTCTTCTTCCGGAGGACGGACGGTCAGCTAGCTGGTATCAAAATCAGTTTTCAAACGACGTTTAAAAACAGCCTCAAATTCGTCGACAACGACGAACTGTGGACGACCATTGATACTTGGATTGGAGAGAAGATAAAATCGGCGCCTGAATCACTCCAAAGGGGGTGGTTTTCGTCATATTATTACCAACTGTCCTTTTACGATCTGCAACAAAGTCTTGCAGCTGGAACCAGAACATCTATGCTCGTCACCTTAGCGGTAGCGTCCGGTATACTGTTTCTGACAATACAGAATATTATCCTCACCCTGTGGGCTATGCTGACCATAACAAGCGCCGTGTTTGTTACAGTTGCAAGCCTTGTCCTGCTTGGCTGGGAGTTAAATGCAGGCGAGGCTACCATTATCACGTTAGCGGTGGGTCTGTCGGTGGATTTCACCATTCACTACGGGGTGGCTTATAAACTCTCTCGTCACCCTGACCGAATCAACCGCTCTCTCTACTCTCTTAAAACCATGTCGCCCGCTATCACCATCGCAGCTTTTTCAACGTTCGTTGCGGGCGCCCTGGTGTCGCCGTCCACACTTCAGAGTTATTATCAGTTTGGCGTCTTTCTGATGCTCGTCATGAGCATCAGCTGGACGCACGGCACCTTCTTCTTCCAGTCGCTGTGTCTGGTGGCCGGCCCGCAAGGATCGTGCGGAGACATCCCGTGCCCGGCCTGCTGCGAGTGCTGTCGAGTCGGTTCCAGACCCGCCGAGGCAAGGTCCGTGTCACCCACGCGGGGGTGGATCACCGAAAGTCAGGGTCACGACAATCCTGTCGGGGCCAGTATCCGTGCAGATGAAGGAATCTATACCGTAACAAACGGATGGATTATTGCCCAGGGGAATGATCGTCTGCCAGGAGGCAAGTAATGACAGAACCATGACTCTGCAACCTGAAGTCTTCTCAATACATTTCATTTATTGTATTTTGATACCAGTGATGTATC